AATCAAATTCTGGGAAGATATTTGGGTGGGGAGTCTTTTTTAAAAACCCTCTTTCCCTCGAATTGTGCTCTTTCATCCCTCAAAGGTAGACTGATTGCTGATTTTCTTGCCCCCTCCCCACCCTTGTTTGGTCCGACTTGGAACCTGGGACTTCGCGGAAATGTCAGGGACTCAGAACTTGATTCTTTGTCTTCTCTACTTCAGGTGCTTGATGGGGTGTGACTTGACACTTCTAAACAAGACACTGGACTTTGGTCTCCCCATCCTTCAGGTGTTTTTAGTTGTGCCTCTTTTTTCAAGTCTTTGTCTTCTCCTGCCCAACCCGGGGAACCCTTTCCTTTACAATAAGTTTGGTGTCGACCTGTCCCTCACAAAGTGGGTGCTTTTTGTTGGGAAGTATATCATAGTGCAATTAACAGTAGTGATCTGTTGCAGAGGAAAAGACCTGGTTGGTGCCTTTCACCAAATTGGTGCTATTTATGTAAGTCAAATGGTGAGAATGCTTTTCATATTCTTGTTTCTTGTCCTCTTGCTAGTAGCATTTGGGATTAGTTCTTTTACCTATTTGGATGCAGGTGGGACACCCTGATGAGCTTAGAAAGATTGTTTGTGCCATCTACTTTTAGATGGCCAAAGCGAAGAGGGAGAATGATGTGGAGATGCACAAGGGCAGCAGTACAATGGGTACTATGGGAGGAAAGAAATCGGAGATTGTTTGAAGATAAGGAAAGATGCAAGGCAGAAATGATTGAAAGTATTATGATGAAGGTGATCTCATAGGTGAAAATACTGAACTTATTTTCAAATTTTACAGTGGATGATATGATTAGGAATTGGAGGCTAGTTGCTTGCTCTTCCTTGGCAAAAAAGAAGATCCTGAAGGAGTGGGTGCCCCTTGAACCAGGCTTTGTCAAATTGAACTTTGATGGCAGCAGTTTCGGAAACCTAGGAAGATCTAGAATCGAAGGGGTTATAAGAAATGAAAGAGGAAATGTGCTGGGGCTGTATTTGGGTCCCATTGGAATTGGAAATTCCATTACAGCTGAACTGAAGGCAATGGTATATGGGATACAAAAAGCTAAGGAGATGGGGGTGGAAAGGTTGGTTGTGGAAGGGGATTCAAAAGTTATCATCAGTTGGCTAAAACAACATGACAGTACACCCTGGATATTCAGAAATGACATCAAGAAGATTAAAAGTCTATCCAAGGACATGCCGCTTTCAATTCAGTGGACCCATAGAGCAGCAAATGGACTTGCAGACTAGCTAGCCAAACAAGGGGTGAATAGGGATCGATGTTTCTGGGCTCAACTGTAAAACTGAAAAGTAAATTTACTAGTGGATGCATTGTAGTGGGGTAGCCGAGGCTACTCATAAACTATGCCCCTTGTAATTTCTTTACATTAATGAAACTTCTTTTTACTGATAAAAAAACATGTCTCTGCATCTTTAGTACTCTCCCTCACAACTGTCTCCATAACATCAATTTCCTGCCATAGTGATTTCAACATGGAGTAGTAAACATCTAACTCTTCTCCCCCTATCTCAGATTATTCAAATCACTCTTCAACTATAGGCTCTTGCAACATTTAACTTATGTGAATAAGTTTCTGTAACACTGTCCCAAATCTCCTTGGCTGAGGTCATCCAAAGGTAATGCTGACTTATATAGGTCTCTGCATAGAGTTGACCAACCACCCAATTGCTATGTAGTTCTCTTGCATCCATTTCTCATATGCAGGGTCTGTCTCTGTAGGTTTCACCTTACTACCTGTGAGATACCCTAGTTTATCTCTACTGCAAACATAAATCTGTATGGATTGTGCCTAGGCTAGATAATTGGTTCCATCTAGTTTAATTGTGGCCACACCAGTAAAAAAGGAATCTATTGGACGAACCCCGGATACCGACATTTGTTTCATTTCACTTCCAGATTTCTCATTGATCAAACGAAAATAAAAAAACCAGTTTTTCAGTCTTTATGGACCTAACTGAGGTCAGTACAATACATGGAGATTAAAAAACTAGGGTTTCACTACACCTGGCTATTGGGGAGGAAGAGAGAAGAAGCAACTGCTCCTACCAGAGCTTCCCAACCTCCTTCAAATCTCAAGCGCACACTTCTAGGGATCAAAATACACCTCCCAAGCCCTTAGTGTCACATCCAATCTAGTGATTTAAAAGGCGCGCCTAGGCGCACAAGTGAGGCACATTTTGGGGTATGTGCCTCGCCCAGGTCCTAGGCGCACCCCTTTCAAAAGGCGCGTGCTTGGTGTGCCTAGGCGTGCACCTAATGCGCCTTGCGCCAGGCGTGCGCCTTATTAAAATATCTTCTTAAAAGGCAATGAAAGTTATAAAATCATTATTTTTTATGTGAGAAATAAGAATTTCAGATCCTAACATAGACTTGTTCGGGCTTGCCTCGAGGGGCGTGGTACAAAGGTGACTCATAGAATCAAGAATGCAATATGTTTTACATCACATTAACTACTTGAAGCAATGCAATTAAGGAAAAAAAGAGATTGTGGGTTTTACATGCTTGAAAATGCTTTATATGTTTGCTTTTATTTTTAAATTTTCATTTGAATACACTTTACATGTTATGTTTATGTATTTTAATTTTAGATAATAGGTTTTTTAAATCATTTATTTAAAAATTTAAGTTTATATTTTTTATTAACATTATGTTTAATATTTTTTGAATTTTTTGCATTTTAAAAAAAATTGGCATTTTTTTTTGAATTTTATGACTTTTTTTTTTTGATTTTTTAGCTTTTTTTTTTTGGTAATTTTGTGCCTCGCCTCAGGTACAAATTGGCCCTTGCGCTTTTTTTGTGCCTTGCACTTTTAAAACACTGACCCAGTCCTTCTTAACTTGTAATTTGAAATCTCTATAGTCGGCTAGGGTTTTGGGCAGAAAAAATACAGCTTCAATTCTTGGCAATTTTCAGCTAGATTCTAACTCTCCAAACCCTCTACCAACTAGGCAAATAGTCCTCTAACTGATCAGCAACTTACCTCTCCATACACTTCTAATCGAAGGGTGTATGGAAAAAAAAAGAAAAAGAAAAGTGGATGAAGAACTGCTCTGATACCAAGATGTGAGTCTGTCCTTCAAATCTGATATAAAACTGATAAAAGAAATAAGAAAAAATGAGAGAGAAAGAAAGGTTATAGCAGAATGGAAGAAGAAGAGAGTTCGATGGTTCTCTCTCTCTCTCTCTCTCTATTTCCCTTCACTAATCTTTTATTAAATTTAATTGTGCTAATTACAAGTCTTCCCTTTAAGTGGGCAGCCAGCAAAGCAGTAACTTAAAATTACTTAAAAAGAGGTTAACAGGCCCATTAACACATAAAACAGATATAACATTACTTAAACATAAAAGAAATATTAAGGCCCATTTGGCCCAGTCTCTCTACACTCACCCATGCATCTTTCCGAGAAATTGGTTTTCTTGGTTCACCGATATTTTTATTGCACAGTTCCTGATGCATTTTATCTTTATCATATTATTTTTGTATCAATGTATGGCGGCTATCATACATTAGTTGTCCAAAGAAAACCTATTTGAGAGGTCTTGTAATCTCTGAAACCAACCCACAACTAATGTTGAGATGCCACAGTTGCATAGCCTACAGATTTTGATCTGGTCTTACCATCAATTTTGGCTCTTGCATAGGACAGGGGGATATATCTTTTAGTGTTATACTACCTTTGAAGAATGTGCATGTTGGACTATAGGTGATCTTGTTACACTTTTTGTGGTAAACATATTATTAAGCTGGTTATAGTCAGTGATTCAAAAGGTGCGCCTAGGCACACAGGCGCTAGGTGCCTTGCCTAGGCCCTTGGCACAGTCCTTTCAAAAGGCGCATGCCTGGTGTGCCTGATGCGCCTTGTGCCTCAGCCCAGGCGTGCGCCTTTTGAAAATTTGCTGCTTTTTTTGCCTTTTTTGAACATAATGGCTGGGATGGGGGCTCTGCCCCCGGACCCCCGTGCTGTGCCCCTTGAGACAAGCCTAATCAAGTCCACGTTAGGTCTTAAATTCTTAGCTTTCACACAAAATAATGATTTTATAGTTTTACTTGCTTTTTAAGAAGACATTTTATTAGGACAAATGAATGAACAACATTACCAAATTGGGGGGTTCTCGGAGCTTCGGTGAGCGAGCGAACGAGAACCCCCAATTTGGTAATGTTGTTCATTCATTCATCCTAATAAAATGTTTTATTAAAAAGCAAGTAAAACTATAAAATCATTATTTTTTGTGTGAAAACTAGGAATTTAAGACCTAACGTGGACTTGTTTAGGCTTGCCTTGAGGGGCGTGGCACAAAGGCGGCTCGTAGAATCAGGAATGTAATATGTTTTACATTACATTAGCTACGTGAAGTAATGCAATTGAGTGAAAAAAAGAGATTAGAGGTTTTAAATGCTTGAAAATGTCTTATATGTTTGATTTTATTTTTAAATTCTCATTTGTATATGCTTTACATAATTACATCTTATGTTTATGTATTTTAATTTTAGATAATAGGTTTTTTAAAACATTATTTTAAAATTTAAGTTTATATTTTTTTATTAATATTATGTTTAGTATTTTTTTATTTTTTTGAATTTTTTGGCATTTTTTTTGATTTTTCTTACATTTTTTTTTTGATTTTTTTTTTTTATAATTTTGCGCCTTGCTTCAAAAAGGCGCGCACCTTGCTTTGCGCCTTGCACTTTTAAGACACTGGTTATAGTATTAAAGTGAGCTTCAATAATTTGCATGCTGGGTCACATGTCATTTTGTTATTTAGATTTATTGGTTAAGTGTCTTTTGGAACTGGTTACAGTATTAAAGTAAGCTTGAATATAATCTATACTTTTGGAGCTACTGTTTCAGTTTTTGGAAGCTCTTTTATATGGACCATATAAGCTTTATGCAGTAATGAAGGTGTCCCTCATAATTGATGGAAGTTAAATGTGGCCTAATGATGGCTTGCTCTTTTAACCAGTTACGAACCCAGGCACTTGCTTCTCTACACAGTGGTCTCCAGACTAACCAGGGACTCCCTGTTGCCCATGTTACGAAGTGGCTGGGGATGGAGGTATGTTTTGTTGGTCTAATTTGGATATATTGCATATTTTCTTACACGGGCAACTTCATATCCCTTGCATTTTTTTGATGGACCAGGAAGAAGACATGGAAAACCTTCTACAATATCATGGGTTCTTGATAAAGGAATTTGAAGAGCCATATATGGTCAAGGAAGGTCTATTTCTCAATGCTGACAAGGATTATCCAACCAAGCGTTCAAGACTTGTTCACCAGAAAAAATCTCAGAGGATTATTGGTGATGTTGTCCCATCTGATAATTTAATATGTCGGCCTGTTCAAGAAGCCAAACAGATTATCTTGGATGACGGAGACAAATTTGAGCCTGAAACTTTACGATCTGTTAAAAGAAAAGCTCCGGTTGATGTTGTTGAAGAAGAAATTTCCAAATTTGAACCTATTTCTAGTCCTAGAAATAGCTCAAAGGTAGAGCCAATGTTTGATGCATCATTGTCTAGTCATGATAATGAAGATGATCACCACATAGTAGATGTGCATTTTAGGCCTCGGAATGCCCCTTTGGTTCATCATTCTCCAGAATCTCCTCCATCTAAGGTTGGAAAGGTGGACAAACCGGATTTAGGTGCCATATTTCCTGACTTTTTGGATAGAAATCTGCATTCTGAGGGGAAAGGAATGCCACTACAGAGCATGCCAGGAAAGTCCCCACATGTTGAAGAAGGATCCATGGGGTTTCAATCTGGTCCTCTGCTAGAGGATTCAATATCCGAGAGAGTAATAGTTGAAGACTTAGAAAATGAAGTAGTAATGGCTATTCCTCAGGAAGTAGAAAGTGAAGAAGCTAAAGCAATTCAGCAGGAAGATGAAGCTTTCAGAGCAAAACTTAAGTTGATCCTAAGGTGTGTAGACTGTCCAACTTGTTTGGTTGTAAATTGTGATGTATTTTTAACTGCATACCATTAATTCCTTGTACGTTTTGATCAGAATATGGAAGCGCTGTTCATTGAGGAGGAGGGAGGTACGTAAACAACGAGAGTTGGCAGCAACTGCTGCATTAAATGCACTCTCAATGGGTCCACCAATTCAACAAAAGAAAACAGTACGTCTTCATATATTCCTCCTATATTGTTCAAGTAGTTTTTTTATTGTTTCTCATTGATGATTGGAAAACTCTGTGAGTTGATCTCAGATGCCAATTCAAGGATTTCCATTCTTTTTTCCCTTTCTCTTTTCTTCTTCAAAGACCTACTGGGACAAAAAGGGAACCTGACTTGACTAGGTTTAATGGGTGGCTTGTGGAGTCATAGACTTGATCTCTTACCCACCATTACTGTTTTTTTGATCAATAACAATAATCGGCTGTATCTTTTTTATTTTTTTTTTCGTGGAGCTACACATTACACAATTGGGGGGGGGGGGGAGGAGCCCATCCCTCATCCCCTTAACCATCAAAGCCCATTGGCATTTGGCAGCGAGATTTGATCCCAGGTCTCTGCTACAACGAGTTAGAGATCCTACCAACTGAGCCACCATCAGTTGGTCCTCTTTCCCATTACTGTTGTTTAACTTAGTTGGACTAGCAACCCAAACAAGTCACCAAAGTTCTCCATATAGATGGGATCATGGGAATATGATAACCGGCATATCTCAATTTAACTCAGATTTAATGCCAACTATTTGGTGTTGGCTCTCTTGTGGATGGTCACTAAAACTATAATTCTCGTTTTGCATTTTTTTTTGAATATTTTCATGCAGTTGTGCTCCATCTTAGATGTTTTTTTTTGAACTTTTGATGTTTTTTTTGAGTTTTCTGTTCCTTTCCTTTGTTCTCATTTGTTTTTTTTTTTCCACTTTGTTGAAGCAACCAAGATTTGTTGGTGAGCTTAACATCGATAACATAGCGAGGGAGAGACATGAAAAGCACAGGAGATTTTGGTCAAGGGTGAATGTTTCTGAAGTGGTTGAGAGGACATTGAGTGAAAGAAATCCGGATGCAAAGTGCCTTTGCTGGAAGCTTATTTTCTGTTCGCAGATGAATGACACAAGGAGGGAAGGTTTACAGCAGAGAAGCCCTGTTGACGATTTAACTGGCCAGTGGTTACTCTCAAAACTAATGGGTGTTAGAAAGGATGATAATGATGGCGATGAAGAACTGTTGGTTTCCTCCCCTGGGCTGTCAATATGGAAGAAGTGGGTTACCAGGGCATCTGGTTCCCCTCCAACCTGTACTTTATCTGTTATCAGAGATATAGGAGTTGATGAGTTGGATGTTGAGATAGCTGGTGGAAGTGCTGTTCTTTTTCTGGTATTAGAAAGCATTCCGTGGAAGCTCCAAAAAGATCAACTCCATAACCTTCTAAAATCCTTACCTTATGGCTCCTGCTTACCACTGCTGATTGTAAGTGGCTCATTTTCTGAAGATGTTCCTGATCCTTCATCGACAATAGTTAATGGACTTGGCCTTCATGAATTAGATAAAACAAGGATAAAAAGCTTCTCGATTGTTTTCCTTGCTGGAAATCGGCCATTGAAACACTTTGATGGGGTCTACAGTGATGAACAGCTAAGGGAGGGACTTCAATGGCTGGCTAGACATTCTCCACAGCATCCGGTTCTTCAGTGTGTAAAGACACGTGAACTGGTTATGAGTCATTTGAATAGTTTGTTGGAGGTACTTGACAAGATGAGTATCTCTGAGGTAGGTCCCAACCATTGTATCTCAGTCTTCAACAGAGCATTGGATCAATCAGAAGAGGAGATTGTTGCCACAGCCGATATGAATCCTGTTTGTTGGCCCTGTCCTGAGATTGATGTGCTAAAGGATTCTTCTGATGAGCACAGAGTTATAAGTTGGTTTTTACCAAGAAGAGGATGGAACTCAGATGCGAGCATTAAGCTTATTGTAGATGCATTTGAAGGTTGCAGACTTCCATCCTTTCCTGATGATTTATCCTGGTTGAATCAAGGTTCAAACATGGCCACAGAGATACAAAACCACAAATCTGAACTTGAAAAATGCTTGATCAAATATCTCACCCAGTCAAGTAAGATGATGGGGTGGGCTCTGGCAGAAAGAGAGGCCTGTGTAATGCTCCAAAAAGGTGCTCGACTTGAGCTTCTTGATTCAAGTTACTGTATAGTTCCAAGGTGGGTGGTGATATTCCGACGAATTTTTAATTGGCAGTTGATGAATTTAAGCAGTGGGGACTCCTCGGTAGCCTATGTTTTGAAGAACCAAAAGAAGTGCTATATGAAGGCAAGCAATGTAACTGATCGCTTGGAACATGATCTAAGAAAGTTTGACATGGATGTAGTGTCTCCTGATGATCCTCATAACTCGAGTTTTGTTCAGGATAAAACCCAACCTTATACTTTGACACAACCGTCTCTTGATGAAATGGTTGAAATTGGCTGCAATTCAGTCACTTCTGGAAGGGAGGAGCAGGTTCGGTCTGAGTACATTGCACCTCTAGCAGAGATGGCAAATCACAGAACTGCGTCTCTGGAGGCTACTGCTGCCAATGATTTAGTAGAAGGCGGTGAGAACCCTAGACAGGATAATTTGAGTACTTATTTATCTTGTGAGTCCAACAATACTATCTGTAAATTAATCATAGCTACACAAGAGAGGAAAGAGGCTGACAGGTTGAGCAAGTTGTTGGAGCAGTGTAATATATTACAGAACGAGATAGATGAAAAGCTCTCTATATATTTCTCCTAGTCCAAGTACATCAAAATTTTGTTTGTTGTAATTATTCCTTGTACAATGAGAACAAGTTTATGGGTTAGGTTTAGGTGGAGTGCATATGCTAGGAATTGCAAGTTGCAATTGCTGATACCCAGTTGTGCGGCTTGTGCTATTGCATGAGTTGTATTGTACGTTCATTATGATGATGCTTGCTTGCCAACTTTATCCATTTCTGACTACTTAGTGATGTTTACATTCTCAAACATTTGTTGCTCCTTCTCCTTGGTCTATGCTGCTACTCTTTTTGATAATGGCCCTTGATTCGACACGCCTTGCTGTTAGGATAGTTCAGACTTCAGAGTAGTGCTGATCCAAAGGTAATATAGTCCTGTATTTAGCTTATACAGGGGGAAGCCTAGGCCCTAGATTAGTGTTGGCCACTGGGTCACGGGTCAAATGGTCTGACAGTCCACTTCAAATGCTTTAGAGGTTAGACTTAGACCTTACCGTAGTCGAATAGAAGAATTCAAGATGATGGTATTGGGTTATCGATACAAGCCAAAGATATAGAAACACTTGGATGCATTAGGTAAATGCATACAAATTACATAATTATATTAATTGCTAAATTACTTATTAGGTATAAATACATGAGAAATGCATACTTAAGAGTCTCTATGAAGAGAAACATTATAGCCTAGAACATGTACACATCATATAATAATTATCACTCTATTTCAGTTTTTATAATTCTAATTTTCAAATTTTATCAATTTTTTTTTTGTGAAAACTTATTTATTTAGTATTTTTGTATAAATAATAACTCTACTTTTTTAAATAATAGATATGCTTTTATTTTTAACATATAATTTATATGTGAAATAAAACATATATATCATCTAAGGTATATGAAACAAATTATTTTTAGTTTTTAATTTTTATTAAATTTTTGTGGAAAATTAAATTGTAAACTATTTATTTCAGTTTTATAATTATAATTTTTAATTTTTATTAAAGTTTAAAAACCATACAAAAGCGGTTGGTATAGATATTCATTAAACCATGCATTGATATGCTTCTGTAGTGTCATGGAGTTCAGATTGGCTCCCCATGGTTCAAAGTATCGATACACCTTTTATTTTTTCTTTTTAGTTTTTTCATTTTCAAATTTTAATTTTAAGTATAAAAGAATTTGTAAAAACACCTGTAAACAGGTGTATGGGAGCCCAAAGATCATATTGATACTTTGAACCTTGGGCTTCCACAGAATGCACTCCACAACACATCTCAACTGAGCATTGGGAACATCTCAAACACGGACCACAAAAAGCTAACCGTTTTACTCCGCAATTTCCATCACTAAACCTTTTTTAAAAACAGTCATCCCAAACGAAATCTACACCACCAAAAGCAAGCTTAACTTGTTTTCAATCTCATCTCAAGGGTAGAAAAACACAACCTAAAGCGGAGGAATGAAGCCTTGTGTAAAATGACGACCTTGTAAGTTGTACCAGAGCCTTTTATTTTGATAGTAAATTAAAACTGTCTATGAAAAGGATGCAACATTGCAAGAGAAAACCATCAATTTAGAGTAACAATTACATTTCAGCACATTTCTCACTGCAAATGGCGGCAGTGGAAGTAGGAGTTCCCAACAGAAGTTTGAACAAGTGAGAGAAGAAAAAGACTTGAGCTTTACAGATAATTGGCTTGTGGAATTTATTCTTCCTAGTTCCTAAGCTTCCTGTGAAGGGGAAGCATGCCATAACTCTCACCTTACTATCCATGAGACCATGACTCTTAACTTCTTCTCCGTACAAGCTTCGTGACATCTTCCAGTCTGTACTTATCCAATTTCCCCCATTCCTTTCCATTGCATTAACCAGTACATAGAGTTGGATTAAACAATCGGACGCTTTCTTACTCTTTGAATAACAGGAAGGCCAACTAAGCAGCCATGACATCCATCTGGTCTACAAGGTAACAGGAGCTCGCTAGCCTCAAGCAAATGGATAGGACTTGGATGGTAAACCACAACGGCATCAAGTCATGTTTTCCATCAATATTCCATATCAATATCCTGTTCTGCAAGATCTGCCATCCAATAAGTCAGTCAGTATCCGTGAAAAGATACAACTCCCCTGTAGATTAAAGTGGCAAAACATTTTACTTTTTTTTTTTTTTTGCAGTAAAAGTGAGACAATCAGCAACTCTAGAGTTGTAATGAAAAGCAACTTCTAATTGAGCTACAGGGTGAATGACGGAAAGCAAGGTGACCCCCATGCTCTCAATATAGGAAAAATGACCAAATACACAGATGATTTGACTTTTTTTTTTTTATCAATAAAAGTGAATTTTATTAAAGTATTGAAAATTACTACACAGATGATTTGACTTGAAACACATTCATTTTATTATTCATAGAACCTGTTGCTCTCACCTTGCTTCTTTTCACACATACACACGTGAACCAAATTCACATTTGTAATTTACTTGTAAATCCTTTTCTTTTTGATCCCCTTCAATTGATCTAAATAGAAGTTAAGATTTCTGGGAACAGATTAGATTCATACCCTTTCAGCGCACATTAAACAGGGTGGTGAGAGGCAAGCTTCTAAAATCCCTCTAGCTTGATCACTGCCAATGAAATAGAAATTGCACTTAGTTTAGAGGGAAAAGGATAAAACAATGTACTGAATACAGCACAAGTTACAAACCGTTTCTAAGCAACTGGATTGCATTGGAGACGGAACAATGCATGCAGGACTTCGTTCTGTGGGGATATTAAACTGACGAGGCTGCAATTCTGAGAAATTGCTTTTTACTGAATGATATACTTCTGACCCCGTGGAAACAGATATGTCAGCAGATCCTTTTCCCATCATCAATGGAGCTGGTTTGATAGTAACCCTACTAATTCCACCAGGAACATTGCCACCTGTCTAATTGAACGAAAGAAAAAAGAGTTGCCAGACAATAACTTATCAGCAGAGTTATTGCAATAAAACTGTCTCCAGCAGGTAGAGTGTTGTAGTCTGCCCATGGCACAGATAGAGCAAGTGTGACAGGCACATAAGGGGCATAATGTCCTGTTATGCCAAACAACTTTAATCCCACCATATTCTTCTAGATAGTCAGACAACAGTGAGCAAAGCCATCCAACAAGAAATCACATACACCACGCGAATTAAAATTATCCAACTGAATTAAGTATGGCAAAGAACTCCAAAGTAGGACCTATTGAAAGGTAGGTCATCCCTTTGGAATCCTATACATGCATAACCATGCCATTGATTGGGCAGATTTACATTCTGTCTACCTAATGGGGACCTCTGGTTTCACTTAAAAATGTAATGTATCTGCATTGGGAGGAATACTTGTCGCATTCATACATTAGACAGATCCTTGATATTTACAATGATGATTGTGATATCGTCTGTCCGATTTTCATTCTCTAACCATAACCTATATGATTCTCCAGCGATGGCAGCACATGCATCCCGAGGATCTTTGTATCTCACCACCTACATAAAAAATAGAGGAGTTTGTCATAGGATCAACAGGAATAGGAAAGCCAGAAGAGAATAGCTATAATGGGGTTGTCAACAGAGTCCAAAAGTCTGAGACCTGATCTGAGATCCAATCTGATTATTTTGGATTCGGATGATCTGTTGACATAAACAAATCAGACATGGATCCATCCCTGTTCAATCCAAGTAATATCTGTCTCATATATATATAAATATATATTTATTCACATGTATTCAGATACATATGCATGTATTTTTTCACAGCCTAATTTGGATTAGCTAAACGCGTTGGCTGTGTAGTGGGCTGTGGAGCCTATGATAACGTCCCGCACCAGTGATAAAATACGTAGGGTCCACAGTGAGAGGTTGAATGGTTGTGGGTCCCATGTATTATAACTGGTGCGGGACATTATTATTGGTTCCACAGCCTGCTGAGCAGCTACTGCGTTCAGCTAATCCTATCTCTTCACATCATAAATTCCTATTATTTGTTAAGAGGGTTGGTAGCCCACTCACAGGTAGTATGCTAAGTGCATCTACATTGGGTAAATGTGATGTAGATTACAGTTTGACACATGTCTGGTGCCCCCAATATATGCATAATTTACCAACCACCAAGCAGACATTCACTATGGGAACATTTTACTGATAAAACTATGGGAGCATTGTACTGATAAAAAATTATGGGAGCATTTTTCCATGATATAATAGTCTCTCTCACTACTCACCAGCTTCTGCCATTGGATATAAAGTTACTGGTAGACTATAGACAAGCTTTTGCAGAAAAAAAGAACACTAAAAGTGAAGCACAAAGTGTTTTGCCCTAAAAAGATTTGGATTGATGATATAGGGAGAATGCAAGAAACTATAGGTAGGACTACTATCATGCACAAGGCTGCCGCCTATTGAGTATGGCAATAGTGGAAATACATTTGTCTCCAAAATCTAACAAAAAGAAAAGAGGACATTTTTGTAGACGACTGTGGATGAAGCCAATGAGTTCTAACACCTTGGCATTTGCGTTTTGGATTTTGAATCTTGAGAAGAGAAATTAACAAGTAATTAATGAAGATGATACTTTGTTTTGGTACTCAATGAGGATGATACTGAAGGATAGCTACCTTGACACATTAAATCATGCAATCTAATGGAGAAATTTGTACTTGTACATACCATGATTCATAGAAGAATGAGTGCTGAGGAGCTGAAGGCAATCCTAAAAATAACTATGTAAATGGTCCAATTGGAAGTCCAGGCGTCACGCTAATACCACACTATGGCTGCATGGAGTAATGCAATAAATTTTTTGGTTGATATCTTTTATGGACCACCATCTACCTTATGCTGACATGAGTTAATACCAGAGTTCAGCCATCTCCTATCATGCTTAGTGACAAGGACAGAGTTCATCAGAGGAAGTGGAGAAGAAAAATAAGATAACAGGAATAACAGGCCAATGACCCCAACCCAGACACACAAAAAAGAAAAAAGAGAAATGCATATAATCAAAACATAAGATGTTGACTCGTCGAGGGAAAAAAAGAGAATCTGAACCAAAACAATAACCAAATACAAAAGGAGAAGTGTAGTGGTTTCGAGGACGAAAATAGCATTTGGATGTGAAGAAAGATATAAGCAAAACAAACTAAAAAGAAGGCTCGGTTTCATCTGTTCGGGCAACTGATAACGGGGCTTACCATATTGACGACGGCTTGGCTGGAGAGGAATTCGAATACACCATCACTTGCAATAACAAAGAATAAGTGATTAGGTGTGAGCTGAACCGTGGTTACTTCAGGAACAGCAATCACTCCAATCTTCTCAGCTATACTATCACCCACACTCCTTGTAAATGCAGTCCCAGGATACATCGCATTCTGCACCCACAGCCTTGGGGGATCACTACCCTCACTTTCTTCATCACCCCAGGTCTGAATATCTGGATCCTTGAGCCCTTCCACCTGATCAACACTCAAAACCCTTGCCCCACAAAGCTTCACCCTCTCATATTCATCCCTCCTGAATGGTGTCTGATCGTGTGATAGGTCTTCTGCAAGAACACGATTCCCACTCTTGACAGCAATTATTGCTCTTGAGTCACCCACATTTGCCACGAAAAGTTTGTCCCCACTGACCAGGACGGTAATTGCAGTCGTACCGCTCATTGAATCGTCTATCTCGCTATCATTAAGTTCAGAATTTGTGGCCAGAAAAGCAGAATTATATGCTTTTACAGGATCCTCTGTCAATGAGGGATCGACTGAGAGGATTTCTATCAGCCTATCCCGAACAAAATTCGAACACCGGGCGCCAAACTGGCCGTGCCCATCAAAGACCCCAAAGAAATGGAGGTTTGGGTTACCTTGGACCTGGGTCTTGATGCAGAAACTATCCTGATTTTCTTTATCAGGCGAGTCGGGGTAGTAGCCCCGCTGAGTGAGGGCCGAATACTCTAATTGGAACTTGTGGGAAGGCACAGAGGCGAAATCCAACAACCTCCCAGTGAGTATGTGACCTTGATTTCCATGAACATGGAAGTTGTTGCTACAATACGGCCCAACTTCTCGCATGTCTGCGCTATCTTCATCAGAGGTGGCTGGATACCGACTACAGCACTTCCCGTGTACGCACCCCATGATCTGAGAACCGAAGAACAAAGACCGAAAGACTACGTTTTGAAAGAACGCCTCGCAGACGAATGCAAGGGGACGGAACCGTGTATGTAACTGCTTCAGGCTGAGGTAGGAGAGGCAAAATGGGTTTTCATGAAAAGCAACATTTTGGGGTTCACAAGAATTTTTTGTACATAGAACATGGGTTCTGGAAACAGAATTAAGAACGAAATCCAGAACAAGCGAATGTCCTGCGATAAACCCTAGAAAGAAGCAGTAGATCTCTCTTAAAGGAAGAGAATTTCGGTTTCCAGAGAAAATTGTGATCTGGGTTTTCGGTGAACTAAGGCGTTATGCAGAAATTAGACTAATTAGTGAAACCGAGAAGAAGCTTTTCTCCTTCTAACAAAGAATTTAATTTCGGATGACGATGCAGAGAAATGTACCGACTACCGACTATTTATGTGAGTTCCTGCACAGAACCTTTATCGATACAGGGCCAGGGGAAAATCTAAGAAAACATAAAAGGAAGAATCTGAGACAATTTTCTCCAATCCTGAAAAAGTTGAACACAGAGACGACGTGTATCGGGCGTTAAAAGGTTCTTACAAACAAGAGGTCTTGTCAAAGTAACAGAACATTAGCTCAGGGGGAAAAACAGAACAAAACCCTAAAATAACCAACGCACCCAACAGGATCTGATGAAGAAGAAATGAGGGTTTCCTTCAAGCACAGAGGTTGGATAGGTCTTATACAGTATGGGGTTCTTCTCTACAGAAAGCCCATATTCCAAGAAAAAACAGGACATGGGAAGATCAGAAACCCTAAGAAAGGGACAAGATTTGACGACCCAACAAGCAAATAATCTCAGTCTGTGAGGGTTTGAAGGTTTTGCTCTGACACAGTGTGAGATGGACTTATCTTTGAGGGAGGTCTTTCTACCCTCCAAGTCATGTCTTTGTTTGGACAGTTTTTCCGTTGGCTTTCTATTTGGTGAGTTTTAGCCCCATAATCATCCATCAACTTGCTCATCACTTCCACTAAATGACAGTTTTGTTTTGGTTGTGTGCTCAAATGAGATACACGAGGCCAGAGCCATTTTGATTCTATTCCTTTCTTGAGAGATGTTTGCACAAAAAGTTGGCATTTGTATATAGGTTTTTTCTTTCTTTCTATTAAAAAATTCAGACCAGTCTGGTCCCAGACCTCTTAATTGCCATTAGGGTTCTTGTCTTTCTGCCTCAAAACTGTAAATTATGGATTGGAATCAAATGTCTTTAGCTTTTGTTAGATCATCCAGTGGTTCTAAGTTTTCATGGCGTGGACCATCTGAAAAGGAACAACATTGATTTGATTGCTAGATGGGCAGCAAGGTAAAAGATAATGTAAAGTGGGGACCTAATACATATAGTAATTTTGATTAGTGACTCTTTCTTGGACAATCTTTCTTCAATTCCTGAGGAATCCTGATGGGTAATCTGTGTGACACACAGAAGGGCCTACATGTTCAACACATGGGTCTGATTCTTCTGAATGGTGTTAATAGGGGGAAGGAAGCAAAGAACCCTTTCCAACCTGTGTAAAGCGATTGCAGTGTAACTTGTGTAATAGCTTCCATGTGGGAAGTTGTTGATTCAACATCATGTGTCATCATCTATCATGAGATCTTTGATGGGATTGTACTGAATGAAATCTTTGTTACAATCAATGATAACCCATTGAGGAGTAATTTATGTTACAGTAGTTATTTCATGTATGTGAGTATGTGAGTATGTGGAACCGGAGATATAACACATACTAGAAACCATTTTCAACCATTGTTGATCAACAGTTTGAACCGTCATTTAGTTATATTTAAGGGCTTTTTATTAAAAAAAAAAAACTTGGGATTTGACAAAAAACCATTGACTAGGGAAAATATAGTTGAATCATTGATCCGTTCTCAATCACCAATGTCACGAGTTACACACTATATATGTATATACAAACTTCGCACTTTATTGTTTAATTGGGGTGATCTTTATTTTAATTTTGGATAATTTTTTGGGATATATAAGCGCTCCTCCAAGGGTTAAAGGCACATTGCCCCACTATTTTTACCATAAAAACTACTTTTTGAAACGATAACCCATGATCTTTATGTCAACTTCGAATAATATCCATTTGACTTAGATGATTGAATTGATGACCCATGATCCAAAAACAAAAATGATTCAGTCTCTAAATCAATTTTTAAAACATTAATACAAACTATGGATTTCATGTATAGAAATATTCCAAAAGCAAACTGTTCTCAGAAATGTTCCCAAAATGATATTCTAGTCACAAATTGAAACATCAAGCTTCAAGATAATGAGATATCGTTGTTTATCGGTGCTAACAACATCATCTTCGTAGTCATTCATCGTCACTATTATCCCTGTCGTCATTGTGGACATCGTTGTAGTTAGCGGAGAGTCAATTAAGAGGTGGCTCTTAGGGGTCGTCTTCTAAATGAGACGTTAGTTGATATTCCTTTTATTTTTTTTTTATTTTTTGTCGCAGAAAAAGAAAGATGTGAGACGTCGACATACATAGCTTTCCGTCCTGTGTGGTTCATGGTTGCGCTGGAAATTTGATTTAAAAAGTTGACACAAAAGAAACTGGAGCTAAGTTATTAGTTAGCGTCATGGCTTGTGATTGCTACATAATTGCATAAAGAATTACATATTAGAAATCTTAAGAACCAAGCTCTTATCCATCAGAAAAAGTTCAAAACCTCATTTTTGTGACAGTGAAGCTATATTTTCTATTCTGCAAATTGATTCTCATTTTTTCAAAAAAAAAAGAAAAGAAAAGAAAATCTTTTTGAACCTAAACAATGAGAATCAAAATCAATCCTACCCAGAAAAGATTGATTCTCAATTTTCTTTTCAAAAATATAGTCTTTTAGAGCCTAAACAATGAAAATCGATCAATCCAACCCAGAAAAGATTGATTCTTATTTTTCWTTTCAAAAATATAGTCTTTTAGAGCCTAAACAATGAAAATCAATCCAACCTAGAAAAGATTGTTCTTATTTTTCTTTTAAAAAATATAGTCTTTTAGAGCCTAAACAATGAAAATCAATCCAACCAGATAAGAAAAAGGTAAGAAAAGGAAAAAGACTATCCATTCTTGCAAGGCTGCAACTTAATTTTGGATTATGAAATGGTCCATGATTAAAAGTAAGAGAACAAGAGCTGCTTTTTTTTTTATTTAAAATTATCATGTTTAAAGGATTCCTTGATTTGGATTAAAAAGGAAAGAAGTCCTTCCATCATTTCACTCAAACTTGTCCCTCTTAGGGGGGTGTTTGTTTTTGGGATTTTGAGAAGGGGGAAAATTGGTCAGTGGAAATTTTGGTTCTCATTGACCAAGAATCCTATGTTCTTTTTTCAGATTTATGTTGGGACTAGGGAAAGTTTGTTTTCCTGGGTATCACTTATACTAAGTGGATAAACAATTTTCCCACCTAGAGGGAAAGTTGCCAGCATTTTAATGGAACAAAAATACCCTTTTTAATAATGGATTTTATGACTAAAATAACCATTAGTCATTACCTTATTTACCTGGAAAATAAAAGAACATGGGTAAATACACTTAGTCGAATAAGTTTTTCTTGAGAAACACTTACCTAGATAATTACATTTACTAGAATAAATAATTTACCGAAAAACGAAAGGACCTAACTGCCTAAGAACATTATTTTTCTTCCTCTTTTCCCTTTGCTATTTTATAGATAAAATAAGAGTAAAGAAATAATACCTATTGAAATCCTTAATTATAAGACTCATATATATATGAGTTCATAGACTTACATTTAGGTATTGACAAAATAATATCATGAACACTCTCATATATATATAAATACAATGAAGTTGTCATGTCTAGCAGCTAGAGAAGGTGGCCCATCACCTGCAGGAGTTGTCCAAGGGACCTGTATGTGATATGTACTCCCACATACTGCATTAATGCTTTCTGTCTTGGACCCATCGTCTATTTCTGAACGTATGGTCCCTTCTTGGACTCAGTTGGGTTAACAACGCAACGATAATTATTACTCTCCAACCATTACTTTTAACACACAAATAATATAGATAAAAATCTCAAAATCATATCTCTCTCTCTTTCTCTCTTGTGTGTGTTTTTGTGATGGAAGAAGAAATGGATAATATACATATTTGTATGCAATGGTGAAGGAAAAGCATGTTTTACGTGAATAAAGACCACAAAGATGCTTAAAAGAGTTCCCCATCAATGAATAAAAGAGGTTTCAATTGCTCATACATTTGGTTTTTCTTTTCTTTTTGCAATTGTTAATATATCTTGTTTAATTGATAATGAAGCACAAAGCAATCTAGGGTCTGGACCTCTATCTTCTCGAGGCTCGAGCCATCCATAACTTGGACAAGCTGCGTAAGTTGATTGAATGGGGTGGAAGTTGGGCCGGATTAGGTTGAGTTGAAATTAAGTCCAGTCCAATCTGAGGTTCTGAACCCTCAACCCTAATTCTAACCCAATCAGAAGTTGACTTCGGGTTGAGTTGGACTCTTATCCTCTTAAAATCTCATAAGATCTCTCAAAATCTTTTAATCTTTGACTAGGAGACCTAAACTCAACTTTTATGACCATTGTTTTGTTGGTATTTACTTGTTTGATTTATATTGGATTTTTAGTATAAAAATAAAAAAGAAATGTTTCAAATGATTAGATTATCATGAATTATGATAGATCTTCTACTGAAAATTTAAAATCATGAGATCAGTAATAGCAAAATATAAAATTATGGAATGAAAATCACTGATAACAATTTGTCATTAGGGTTACCACCTAAAAATCAAGACAAATGGATTATGATAATATGTAGGGGGACTATAATACATATATACATTTTTTTTTTTGATATTTTTGATGATACACCCAAATCCCCCAAGCGCAACACCACACTAATAACCCTCATCCCCAAAGTTGGTGGTTGCGAGAATTGGATCCGTATTCGTACTGCAATAAAACCAGTCAACGTACCAATTGAGTCACCTTTCAGTTGACATATATGTATAATTGCAATGGCAATAATAGAGTTGGGTTCAATTGGATCAGATTGTCGAAGGGGTCAATCCTAACCGAACCCAAAGTTAAATTGAATTAACAAAAATCAATCCTAACCCTTCATGGGATTGGATTTGAACTAACCTTGTCCAAATTGCAACCCTAATTGAACCCATACCGCCTGAGCTAGTATGGTACTTGTCCATCAGCCTGAATGGCCGGACCCAATGAGCAGATGATGGGCCAAGCATATAATCTTTGTACATTTGCATGTTTGGGGCGGTGGGTAGGGGACCATGAGCCGTGAACCTTAATATGGTGGGCCAATTCAAGCAAGGAACTAATGTACGTGTGGCTTCTTTAACCAAATTTCGTTTATTCTCCAGAGGCTGCATGCTGGCTTTTACTTATTTGCTTGTGCATACGGCATGGCTCCTGACTCATGCATGCAATGGATAATATCATTCATCAATTGACGGATTATTTCTGGTTAGTAATTAGAATAAATTATATATTATCATCCTGTACTTTGGGGGTAGTGACACTTAGTCTTTTTGAATGTTTCCATTTGCATTAAAGGCCCTTCGTTCCTAAACTACGTTGTTCTCTTCATTGGCATTCTGTCAATTAACTTCGAAAAAGATTATTTCATTTGGCTGTTACACACTTTTTAAACATTTCTAAATCCTCAAATTACTATTTTTCTTTAATTTGTTGAACCATTTTGCCCTTTCTCTTACATGTATAAACTCTTTACAAATGTTTCTTTCTTCCAGTCAAAGGAGATGAATATCGAAAGGTCATTCCGGTAATTCAGTGTCTTCCGTTAATCCAATTAACAAGGAGGGAAAATGTATTAGAACCTAAAAGTTTAAGGGAGTGCTTAAGTATCACTACCCTAAAGTATAGGGTGGTAATATATAATTTACCCTAATGAGGTAATAACTATTTGTTCATGAAGAGCTAATTAACCTATATATTATTATATTGGGACCGTGTCTTCAGCTTCTTGT